TTTATGATGCAAAACAATGTCATGCAGCCACCATACCCGTTGTAAGACACGCCGATTCCAGCGGCCAATGCCCAGAAGGGAGGGTAGAAGACAATCCCAATAGCCCCTCAGCACACTAGAAGCGAAAAATACTCTCACCGGCCTTTTAGGGAGGTCGGGCGAGAAGAGTCAAGGAGGGGGAGGGGTTGTGGAGCAGTGTGGTCCGGGGTTCTTTCTTGGTTGGGTGGAATGTCTGGAGGTGGAGCAGGAGGTTTCTTTGGAGCAAAGCGTTGATCAGGGCCTGGTTTTGCTCGGCTATGCGGTTAATACTGTTAGTAAGTTCGATGATGTACTGTGGTGGGTTGTTTGGATGGGAAGGGTCTGTTTGATGATCGGTGGTATTATGGTGGAAGGCCATGGACCTAGTCGTGACCATACACCTGGATGGGTGAGAGGAAAAAGGGTAATAGTGAGAAAGGAGGGCTCCGGCGATAGCGAACACAACTATCGCACGAATAAACCACAAGGTTCCCACAGACGGTGCCAACTGATGATGCTATCTGTACCGGGTGGATGGGTCGGGCTGGTCCAGACTCTTCAAGTTCCGGTTTAGGGTGATGATTCCGTCAAATGACCTGCATGCAAGTCCAAAGGGGAACGGGGCAGTCCCCCAGTGAACCCTCCGCGCGTGAGAATTAGTAGAAGAAGGAAATGTGGAGAGGGAGAGATGGAGAGATAAAAAGCTTAACCTTCCTCTTGCCTTGCTATTCTTGCTTATATCCTTTGGTAATCATTTCATTGTCCCTTGTGACGTGCCCCCTTCCGCCGAAAGCCTGTGCCGTAGCTTACCTTGTTCAGGGTGAGGGGGCTCTGTTCCGACGGGGAGGTGTTGTCGTAATAAATGCTGTGATGAGATGCATTAATGGTGATGTGTTGTGGTAATAACTCTGCAGATCTTTGTCTGCTGATGTGGCCCGTGTTCCACCTGCCATGTGCCCGAATGCCATTGGCCCCCCATGCCTAGATGGCCTCCAGCTGTCCTGGGCTTTGCCAACCGGGTTATGCTATTGGTCTTAAGCGATGGGTTCGGGGTGGTTTGCTGTGGGCTGTATGCCTCGTGGGCCTACCCATGTCAGTTACAATAAAGTTAGGATGATCTTATATTTGTCATATTTTATTTATTATTTCGTTTGTCAATGTTGTATTAGTATAATAAGTTTTATCGGTCATGCCTATTCGCAATGCAATGTTGACATATATATAAAGGCTTGTTTTGAGAAGTTGACTTTTAGTCATTTTTTTAGTTTGTACCAAAAGTTAAAAGTTGGCATTTTTGAATTTTTTTTTTTCATTTGAGAAGTTGGTTTTTAGTTAATGGTGAAATTATAATTCTACTCCTCATAGATCAAAATGTGTTACATGAATGAAGTTGTAAATATTTTAATCAAAAATAATTTGAAATCATAAACAAATATTAATCAAAAAAGTCAAAAAATAATTTTTTATCAACTTTCCAAATCATTTGTTTAAAAAAATCAAAAACTTAATTAATAGTCAAAAATTCATTTTTTATCGTCTTTTCAAAATAGGCCAAAATAATTACGGTCATGATAACTAGTGCATACAATATATGTTTTACTAAATTCAGTATAATTTTTATTAAAATTTATACTTTTTAGAACTAAGATTAAAAAAAAAAATTAAAAAGTATGTTAAGCATAGGTATACACTCTTTAACATCGGCCAAGTAATTAACAAAATGTAATAGTCATGGGACTATATACCACATCAACGGAATGCTCATTATATGGCTTGCCCACTCTTTGAAAAAAAAAAAAAAAGAGGCTTACTTGAGATTTAAAAAATATATAATAAATTCAACAGTTTTGACGTAAATATTTTGATTTTTTTTTAGTAAAATTAAATGGATCAAAATTAAATTAGATGATGTGAAAATACAAAAATAAACAATATAAAATATATATTTTTGTGTACAAGAGATGAAAATATTATTTTTTATTCAAATAATTAACAAATTATTAATAAAAATGTGAAAGTGTTATTAATTAAAATTTCATGGGATCATTCAATATAATTATATTAAAATCATAAAATTTATTGTGTTTTCTCTAATTTACCCTCAAAAAACACGCGCGTCATTGAATATATCATTTTGTCAAGGAACCGCCGGGTATTTGGGGAAAGAAAAAGTTTAAAATGAAGAAATCAATTATAGAACTAAGGCCTCGTTTGAGAACATGTTATTTTAGTAATTTTTTAATTTTTTATGAAAAGATGTGTAGAAAAGTAGAGAGGTGATGTGATTATTTTTAGTAATTTTTTGACTTTTTAACTAAAATAGTCACTCTCCAAACGAGGCCTAAATAATCGATTCTATTATCAGTTTGCCGAACTTTTTATTTTTTTCTTTTTAAATTTTTTATCTAAATTTATGATTTAAATATATTATCATTATTTAGATCATTAATTTATCAATGAAATAAAAGTCAGTTTTGCTGCTTTGTTTCTTGATGGAGTGTTTGTCCTGAAGTATTAGTTTATACTATTTATCACTTTAACACTTATTAAGTTAATTCTCAAAAATCTAACAAAAATTGTAAAATTATACATTGCTGGGGGAGAAAAAAATAATTTATCTTCTTGGTGACTACGTCCTTGATTTCAGGTTAATTGACGTTTTCGAAGTTTCAATGCCTTTAATGTGACAAGACAGACAATAGGCTTAAATTTTAAAACTTTTATCTCTTAGCCTATGTTTGGTAAGGATTTTTTCAAGTTTTTTTTGACTATTTTAACCACAAAAAATAAAATAGGCTATTTTAGTCATAACAAACAAAACATCACATCCAACCTATAATCATTACATTCTTCTCTCATAAAAAAAGTCAAAAAAGTCAAAAAGCCAAAAAATCCTTCCTAAACCAAGCTTTTTAGCCTAGACTAAAATAGCCAAAAAAACCAAAAAATCAAAAAGTCAATCCACTTCCCAAACGGAAGAGATTTGAAAACTGGTAGCGAAAGAAAGAGACATGACAAATTAATATTTATTTTATTTTATTTTGATGTCACGTTAATGGACTTTTTGGAAGTTTCAATTTCAATGCCTTTAATGTGACATGACAGACAATAGGTTTAAATTTTAAAACTTTTATCTCTTAAGAGATTTGAAAACTGGTACCGTAAGTGTTGTTTTAAGAAGTTGATAAAAAATTAATTTTTAATCTTTTTATTTAAAAAAATTAATTTTTTTAGTAGTGATTTGGATAAAAAAAAGTTAACTTTTGTTATTAAAAAAGTTAAAAATTAATTTTTTGCTAACTTCTCAAAATAGTCCTAAGAAATAGACATAACAAGTTAATTTTTTTTTTTTTAAATTTTTTGTCAAAGATAGTATTATGTTAGTATAATTGAATTACAACTGAATAATTTTTTGTTGTTATTTTATAAATTCAAATCTTTAACCTCTCATTCATTACATTTTAAAATATGACTATTAAATCATTGAGTCACACTGCAATATACTTCAATATTTTTTCTTTTTTTGTTCACGCTAATTTTTTTAAACTACAAATGGTAATGATTTAATAGTCATTACCATTTATATGTCCGTATTGATGTAACTCGGATACTTATTTATTTATTTATTTTCATTAATAATTTTTTATTTCTATATGACTAATGAAAGTCACATTAATTCATCAGAAGGCATACGATGTTGTTCTTAACCTGGGCTCGGTTTGAAACTAGGGATGGCAATGTGTCGACATAGGAGTGTAACTGGAATGAATTAATTTTTTTAAACTTTAGGATGACAGAACTAATAAAAGTGATATGATCAATTACACATAAAAAACTTCTAAGTGATGAGTTTTAAAAGACGGAAGATGAGAAATAAAAAAAATAAAAATATATATGTATATATAGATAATAAATATATTTAATAAATATAATCGAAGTGGAGATGAGTAGAACAAAGGATGGGAAAAGGCTGCACTGCCAGAGCGAAGTAGAATAGAGAAAAATTTGTCATTCCTAATTTGAACTATCAAAAGTAGAAAATGTGGTGTTTTGGGAAGTTGGTAAAAAATTGAATTTTTTGGCCAAAAAAGCTAGGGAAAATTAGTGTAGGGTCCCTCTCCCACTTTTCATAATGGAAGAGATCCACAAAATTATTTTCTGATGTCTAAGGTCCCTAAACATATATCAGAGAAATTTGTCTCTCTTATTATTATTATTATTATTATTATTATTTTGACTCTGCCGTAGATTTAAAACATGATTAAACAATTAAAATATGAATTTAATTGTGTACCGTTTGATTCTACCATCATTTTTAGAATTTAACTAGAAAAATTTTCATGTATTTTATCTAATTCATGTTAAATCAAATGGGTATTTTTTCAGGATGGAAAAACTAGATTTAAAAGTTAAGAGCAGCCAAGCCAAGTCCATTGGCACCATAGTATCGATCGTAGGGGCATACATTGTGATCTTTTACCAAGGGCCGCCAATCATGTTCTCTCAATCTCTTCCCATCCTTCACTCACCCTCTGAATCGCCACTATCAAATTGGATCATCGGGGGCTTTCTCCTTGCAACATCTAGCTTTGTGATTTCAGTACTATACATTGTTCAGGTAGAGCTTGTCAAAAGTCTTTTGAACTTTGTCTACAACATAACAAAAAAATAAAAAAGAATAAGTAAAATATATTTGAATTTTAATCATTTTCGATGTCCTCAGACGTGGATAATTAAGGACTACCCTGCAGAGATGGTGGTAACACTTATTGCGCGCGTCTTTGTGGCAATCCTATCGGCTATAATCGCTTTGATTGTAGAAAGCGATCCAAAAGCTTGGACACTAAGACCTGATATGGAGTTGGTAACTATTGTCTACTCGGTAAGCATAAAAATAAATCCATTTTGTCTATGGTTGTGTCTAATATTAGCATATATGTCTATATGAAATTTTTGTAATAAAAACTAACAATTTGATATAATGGTGAATTAATCTATAGGCATTTCTTATGGTTACAATTCGGAGCGTGATTCATGCATGGGCTTGTCGCACAAAGGGTCCTGTCTTTGTTACGACGTTTAGACCACTGGGGATGGTCTTTGCAGTTTTCATGGGAGTTACCTTTTTAAAGGATACTCTCCATGTTGGAAGGTCACTTTCTTCATTTTTTAAGTTCTTCTAAATAAAACTGATGAAAACAAAAAAAATGAAATTAGATAAATTTGGTAAAACATGAAAATCATAAGAACTAACAAACATGTTTTTTTTATTTTTAATGATATTCACAGTGTAATTGGAGCAATCATAATAGCTCTTGGTCTCTATTCTGTGATGTGGGGAAAAGCCAAAGAAGTTGAGATTATCGAAAACAGCTTTATCTGTAGGATTAATTCATCTTCCGAAGAAGTTCCTCTGTTGCAAAATAAAAGCATAGACGTATAGAAATAATTGTACATAGTGGGGGTGTTTAGTGTGGATTATAAGGGGTGATTATAGTTTATTTTAATTTTGAAATCTGTGCCAGATCATTTGGTGTAATTTCTACTTATAATTTTTTAGACAGAAATAGCTTAAATAAGCGAAAAGCTGATTATTTAGAAACTGTGGAAGGGATGGTTTTGATTTCTGTTTTCTGATTATCAACTTTTAACTTACAATAAACTGCACTAACCACCACCAGTATAAAATGTTTATGAGTTTTTGTGATTGTGTTTATGTATGACATGTTGGAAAAAATGGTTTTTATATAGGCATATTTTTAACCCATTTTGGGTGGACCCCAAACGTGTTATGGGGTGGGTCCGAAAAGGTAAAGTGGTGAAAACGGAACGTCAAAACCATTTATGAGTGAATGGGAAGATGACGTCGTTTTCGGGTTTAACATTAATTTTTTGTGAATCTCTTAATATCATGCTGAACCAAATAAATATTTTTTGTTTTATTTTATATGTTTTTTTCTTTGTTTTGCACAATAACTGGGACATAGCACAGATATTATCCGACACCTCTCTCTGGAAGGCAATGTTGGCAAGAGCCTCTTCTATCCCTTCCAACTACCAAAAAGTCTGTCAAATTCTTTCAAAAATTCCAAAATCAATCTGTATTCATCTTCTATTTAATTATGTACATTATATTAGGATTAGGGTTAGGATTGTTTTAAATATGATTTATAAACTAATTTCTTTTTATTTATTATGAAAAGACGTGTAAAAAAATTAAAAAGATAAAGCAATCAAAAAAACTCAATAAGTCAATAATTTTTTTTTTCTTACACTATCCAGAAGAGGCCTAGTAATTAGCAAGATAATTTAAATTAGAGTATTTTGTACCTTCAAAATTTTAATAGTTTACATATACTCTCAAAATTATAAAGATTCGCGAAATTAAAGATTATTTACACTACAAGAAATTAAAATCTTAGAGATAAAAATTTATAGACAAAATTACTTTTTAGGGACAAAATATTATTGTCGCAAAAAATGTTAATATTTTAGTTTTAGTGACAAAATTGGATATTTAGTGATGAACATGAATTACTAACCTTTTATGATAAAAAATTTTGTCTCAAAAAACAAATCTTTTTAGGACCAAGTTCCTTTGTCTCTAAAAGTGCGTTTATTATTGATATTTCTAAAAATTTGTTCATAAAAGCTTATTTTTGGACTTTTCGAGACGATTTTTTAGCGATTATCTTCACAACAACTGAAATTAGTGCCTAAATATTTTTTGCAACAAAATTTATATTTTAGAAAGAAAAAAATATGGTTTCTAAAACTCTTATATGTTGTAGTATTAACATTACAAAATAAAAAAATAAAAAAAAAAGTTTCTAAAAAAAGTTTTATTAAATATTGATCTATTCTATTTGTTATCTGTATTATTTATTATATTTCTATATTGTTTAGAGTTAATTATATTCTTCTATTTGTTCTTATTCTTGTTTGTTTCTGTTCATATGCCATTTATTATTTATTGCCTTTTATAAATCACACTTCAATTTGCTTGTGCACCTTATTTGGCATTCATATTTTTTAATTTTTTTTTGGGTTCATTCTTTAGAAACACAAATATTGTCTGAAAATAGAAATATTGTCAACTTCTTTTTTGATCAGCAAAAAGAAACTTTATTGATAGAAAACATACAGAGTATGAAAAAGAACATCAATAAAGAGGAGGGTGCAAAAAGCATCACAATGACATATCAAGATCCCAACCAGGTTGGCACCAAGATGGGCACCAAATCATTTGTTAGCACAAACTCCAAGCTCGAAATTGGTGAGTAACTAACAAACAGAGCAAACAAACAGGTAAAACTCAAAGCACCCTAAAAATTGCAACCTATAGGATCAAACTAGAGACAAATCAACCCTATCAACTATAATCACCAACTAGCAAAAAATAGCAGCAGCAACTCAAGCATCAACATCAGCAAACTAGAAACAACCAACAACATCAGCACACTTCAACCTAGAAACAACTATCAACCAACACAACTAAAGCAGCAAAACAACAGAACAAAAACAGAACACCCGCAGAACAGAACTCACACAGCAGTAAAAAGCAACAGCAACCTACACAAATAGCAGGAAAAATAAGCAGCACCTCCACCTTATCAACAGCAAAATCTTAAATGCTGAAAGAGCTTGTAAATAAAAAGAAAACACTAACACCACAAACACTCCCGAAGTAGCAGTGGCAGCAAGGCTCCCAACCATTAACTAGCACAACCATCTTACATCAACCAAGTGGCAACCTTCTTCTCCCAACACAAGCCTTGGTCTGATGCAAATTAGTAACTATCTGCTGCACTGAGTAGTGCATCCCCTCAATATTCAATTTACTCCAAAGTGCTACCCTTACATTCACCAACTCTGCTAATTCATTCCACTCAACTGGTTTGCCACTAAAAAGACATTCATTCCTAGCTTTCCATAATGACCACATAACAGCTAAAGGTATTACTTTCCACATTCTGAGGACTATCTTGCTGAATTTGACTCCTGACCACCAAAGCAATAAATCCTTAACTAAACCGGGTAAAACCCACACCAGACCCCACCATTGCATCATATCAACAAATGGACAAAACAACATGAGATGATGAACTGACTCCTCCTCTGATTTACAAAACAGGCACAATGAATCTGAGTCCTCATTTAACACTCTTAAATTTTTTAGAACAGCTACAGTTTTAAGCCTACCTCTCCAAACTAACCACCCACAGAATTTTACCTTGGATGGAGCAAAATTTTTCCATAAGTCCTTAGTAACATTGAGATTCGGACCTTTTGAATACATCCACCACTTCCATGCTGATGCTACTGTAAAAGATCCTTCTGGATTGGCCATCCACTGACATGAGTCCTTAGACTCCAAAGAAAGAGTAGGTGTTTCCCTGAGCAACTCATGCAATCTTAGTACCTCCTCTTCCTCCCATGCTAGCTGAAAGATTGTTAAGGAGAAAGAGAGAAAAGAGAGAGAAAAGAGAGAGACTGTATAATCACTGTCTGTTATTATGTTTGTGTGTTTACAAGAGAATAAGTTCGCTCTCTTTATAGAGAGGAGAAGGAGACAGTTGGAATACTGGCTCACCGAAAGCATACAAATATACATTAAGATAATGCAAAGGCGTCTGAAGGTGGTAGTGGGTGAACTCTTTACAGCCTACAAAGGCACTACAATTACAGCCTACAAAGGCACTACAATGCATAGTATAATATATACAAAAGGCACTATAATGTATAATATAATATATGTTAACACTAGCAATGGTCTTCTGAAAATTAAATTCCACTCATTTGGTTGACCTCTCCTCTGGTAAATCTGCTGAACAGTGTTACCTTTCTCCTCTGATAAGCTATACAATCTAGGAAACTCCTCCTTCAGGTATAAATTATTCAACCACTTGTCCTCCCAAAGATGAATTCTATCCTCATTCCCTACTGATAGTTTAAGGTTTGATAGGTAAAATTCAACAGGAGCAGGTCTTTTATGAACAAGTTGAAGAATATCACTCCAAACCCTGGACATTGCACATTAGTGGAATGAAGTGGAACCCAACTGCCCCCAACAACACCATACTTACAACACACAATCTGTTTCCACAAAGCTCTGACCTCTAACCCAAACCTCCTCCACCACCATTTGAGCAAAAGACAGTCATTGACTTCTGCAAGATTTCTAACCCCTAAACCCCCTTGCTCAATATTTGCTAATATCTCCCTCCAATTAACCATGTGAAGTTTCCTCTTTGTATCAGAATCACCTCACAGAAGTGCTGCCTAAATCCTCTCTAGTTGCTTAGCCACACCCACAGGTAGTTTGAAAATTGATAGGAAATAGGATGGTAAACTGGATATAACTGCTTTAATCAGTGTGAGTCTGCCAGCAAATGAGAGCATTTTTCTTTTCTACGAAGCCAATTTCTTCTTCACTTTCTCAATCACTGGTTTCCAAGTACTCTTGCTTCTTGGATTTGCACCAAGAGGAATGCCCATATAAGTAATATGAAGTTTTTGGCTGTGCTAGTGCAGAACTGAGATAAAATCATTAATAACCTCATTATTAACACCAACCCCACACATCATACTCTTATGGAAATTGATTTTTAACCCAGACATGAACTCAAAACACCTTAAGATTCTCTTTATATTGACTAATTCCACCCTATTAGCCTCATAAAAGATAACAGTATCATCTGCAAATTGCAAATGGGAGAACTTCAACTCATTAAGCCCTATAGTTGCCCCTTTTAAATAACCCAACTCATTTTCCCTTTCAAACAGCAAATTCAAACCTTTAGCAACAATGTTGAACAAGAATGGTGATAATGGATCACCCTGCCTAAGTCCTTTTTGAGGCAAAAATTCAGCAGATGGAGAACCATTAACTAGTACAGAAATCTTAACTGAAGAGATGTATGTTTTGATCCACCTCACCCATTTTTCCCCAAAGCCAAAATTTTTCATCATTGAAAGAAGAAACTCCCAGTTTACTGAATCAAAGGCCTTTTCAAAATCCAATTTCAGAATAATTCCTTTCTTTTTAGATGCTTTCCACCAATCCACCACTTCATTAGCAATTAATACTCCATCTAGAATAAACCTTCCCCCCAAAAATGCTGTCTGGACTTCACTAATAATAGATGGCAGAACTTTCTTTAACCTTGTACACAAAATTTTATAAGCTGAATTGACTAAGCTAACAAGTCTGTAATCACCTAAACCACTTGGGTTCTCTTTCTTTGGTATCAAAGTGATAAAAGAACTATTCAAACCGGAGACCAACTTCTCATTCTCATGAAATTCATTCATGAATTGGAGAATCTCACTCTTCATTATCTTCCAGCACTTTTGAATGCAGGCCATATTAATCCTATCTGGCCCAGGAGCTTTATTACCATCACAAACTTGAATAGCAGCCCAAATCTCTTGCTCTGTGAATGCTGCTACCAGATTATCATTATGCATAGAGTCTATAGATGAAAATATGCCAGAAAGTTTAGGCCTAGAACACCACTCCTCAGTAAATCCTCTAACAAAGTGATTAAGGACTGCATGTTTAACTCCAACTAGTTTCACCAACCTCACCCATTCCTCCACAACCAAATCCAGCAAATTTTTCCTTTTCCTAGAACTTGCCATCAGATGGAAAAACCTTGTATTCTTATCACCACGTTTAGCCCACAACATTCTAGATTTTTGGTGCCATAAGCTCTCTTTTCTCCTACTCAAATTCCACACTATACTTCTTATTTCCCTCCTTCTGATCATTTCTGATTCTGATAGATTCCTTGACTCAGCTACCAAATCAAGTTCAGGATACTCCTTCTCTACCTTCTTTAATTGAACATCGACATTTCCAAAAACCTCAGAATTCCATCTTTAGAGATTAGCCCTCAGATTAGCTAGTTTCCTCATTAGTCTGAAGCCAGCCCATCCTGGAACAATAGCTTCATCCTAAGACTTCTTCACCTCAACTTTGAACTTAGGATGGAGAAACCAAGCATTAATAAACCTAAAAGGTTTTGGACCCCAATTTCTATCATCTTCCTTTAACAGTATTGGGCAATGATCAGATATACTTCTGGGAAGTCCCTATTGCTTAAATGAATATTCCTCCAACCACCTATTCTCCAAAAGGAACCTATCTATCCTACTCCATCTATCCCTATCTTGAGCATTACACCAAGTGAAACTTCTTCCCAGCATAGGCAAGTCCACTAAGTTTAACTGATCAATTAACCCATTAAGATCATTCATACCTCTCTCATTTCTTGAGCATCCCTTTCTTTCACTAATATACGTAATTTTATTAAAGTCTCCACCCATACACCAAGGATTAGAATAATGGGATTTTAATCTACCTAGTAAATCCCATAAGAGCCTCCTCTTAATTACATCATTTGGGGCATAAATATTAACTATAGTGCATTCAAAACCCAATCTAGCAATTCCTGAAAGTAGAACAAAATTTCTTTAGCTGCAACACTCCTTAAGTCTGAATCTATTAGGATTCCAAATGCATAACAAACCACCTGCAGTGCCTTCAGCATCTACTCCCACGAACTCCATCTTCTCAAATGGCCACATTATCTTAATGAAGTCTTCCTCCATGCTACTTCTCTTTGTTTCTTGAAATAAGACTGCATCCACTCCACCCTCTTTTAATATTACCTTTGTCTTCTTCCTCTTTTCTGGTCTTCTTAGACCTCTAACATTCCATGAAATTATCTTCATAAGGAACCATATATTACACTTGCACCCCTACAACAACTATTTAGGCATCGACAGCCATTCCCCTGCCTTCAATCCTTTCCAAATCCTTTCTTTCCATCTGAATAATTTTGTCTATAGCTTCATCTTCTTTCCTTTCAAAATTTATGCCAAATGACTTTCCCATCTGGACTGTTGCCTTAGCTTCCATAATCAACCTTCTACTTCTTCTATTCAACTCACTATTAATTGATAATGAATTTGAGAGAGCTACCGCAGTGGCTCTGAAAATAGCACCCCTATTAAAGCTTTGTGGAAGCACTCTACCCCTCTGTAAGGGCAGCGACTTACCTTTCAACAAAACTCTTCTATCTCTCCCATTATTTCACTTTTTTCTACAAAGAACCCTTATTTTAACCATTACACAGCTGCTCTCTCCACCCTTATGGCCTGCTGATGAGCCTACTTGATTGAACTGTGTTTGGGCTATACAATCACTCAAGTTTGACTATGAATAACCATTGGGCCTACTTTGATTGGTATCACCCTGGGCTCCCTGCAACACTACTTCTAAATTAATATTGGGCCTAACCATTTCTGGCCCACTCAAGCTCTTCATAAATCCGGGTGTGGAGACATTGGCATCAATATTTTGAATGCTCTTAACCACCTTCTCTCTTGGACTTTCGACAATCTTCATCATACCATTATTGCCAGAGCCCCTACCTATTGAGTTTCCCAAGCCTTCGTCTGATGCCCCAATGATGATGCTACCCCCATGCTTCTCCTTCTTTCTAGCTCAAACGTTCCCCTCTCCAATGAGTCCTTAACACTGCTTGTCATTTCAGCACTTAGTGACACATCATCACCACCTTCACATTCCTTTACTAGTTCCTTCCAACCACCAATTGTGTCGGATAACGTATCTTGTTTGCTGTTGGAATTTGAATTCATAACCTCATTAAGCTGAGTACTGCCTAGCCCTGTGGTTATCCCTATTGGGAAGCCTATCTCCTCACACACTCTAACTGGATAATGGTTCCCTTTGCATTCGAGTGTTACCACTTCGTTAATAAACTCTCTGTTTTTTGTGATTATCCTTACTTTACCCCATTGAAAATAAACTGGGTTGTTTATATCCTCATCAAGCTGACCTACTTCGCCCTAAACTCTTCCAATGTTGTTAAAAGTTTTTCTGTTCCACAGATTAAAAGGTATGTCGGAGTAGAACAACCAAACACACCTTTCATTTTCAACCATTCTCCATTTTTCCCATTCCTCCATTGATATGCACCATTCATATATCCATTCCTTCATTTGTTCCACAGACTTGAATGTCAGTAGCGCAAATCTACCCCCTCATCTGACATTCACCTCCTTTAACCCTCTTTTATTACACTCCTTTTTAAAATCAACAAAGATAAAGAATGCTTGTAGCTGAACTACTAGACTCTCATGAAGCCAACCATTACCAACCCCTTCATCTTGAACATATATCCTATTGATATCTCTATTTAATCCACGTACTGCATTCGCATAAGAGCTCTGACCTTTACCCCCATCTATTGGTTGCCATTGCACCCTCTATTTGATGACACTGGTATTCTCCTTTCCTGACTCCTGCAACTTCGGATTCTGAACTTTACTTTCGTACGCAGCTATCCATACCTTCAGTTCCTTATCATCACACCACAACCCTTCAATTTTTTGAACTGCCATGCTTGCTGCAACCTGACAATCGTATCAAATGAATCCAAATCTTGTTCCCAAAACTTTCCTTCTTTTCTTCGGAATAAATACATCCTTCACCACTCCATAGTTACTAAATAGGTTGAACAATCCTCTTGGTTCCATCGATTCTGGTAAGTTGTCTACGAAAACGGTGAACAATCCTAGTCTCCTTAATCTAGCTTGCTGATAACCCACTGATCTTCTCCTAATCACTGGTTTCCACCATCTTCCTTCCATTAAACAAATTTCTTATTTGATAGCGACTATGCAGTACTACTTTGCATGATTAGTTAATCATAACTTTTATACATCATTGGTTCTAAGAAATGAATTTATATATCATTTTCCTTATTGGGTAAATTTCCCATACTTAGAGGTAATTCACATCACACTAAATTTAACAAAAGCAGTTAATTTTCGAGAAAATTTTTAAATGATTGTTTTTGCTCTTAATAATTTTCTTCCTAACGGAAAAGGAAATTAGCTAGCTAGGTTTTATATGAAATGGTTATACAAACAGAAAATATGATGAAAATGCAAGATTTCTCTTGTGAATATTTATTGTTTTTGGAAAAAAAAAAGATAAAAAAAATTACAACATGACATTCTTAAAAGTAAGTTCATAAAATTTAATACCGCTTATTGAAATAGATTATAATTTTACTCATAAAAATATTCATTTTCAACTATGAAAATTTTTCAAAACTAAATTGTGTAATAAGATGGAAGATGATTTTGTAACAATATTTATTGAGAAAGATATTACTTAAAGTTTTAATGTCGAGCCTATC